CGCTCGCTGAGGAGGCCCGCCGCGGGCCGGGCGGGCTGGTGGGCTTAGCGCTGCCTTCCTGTGCCCTCTCGCCTTTGTCTTCCTGTCAGACCCGGAGGCCTACCCGCGTGTCCCCGAGGGAAAACGCTCGCCTCACTGGGGCAGCACGACTCCTGAGAGAACTTTCCAGAATCTTCCAGAACCTTCCAGGTGTGAGGTGCCAGTCAGCCCCAGTCAGGGCGTCACCCGGTACCCACAGGAGGGTACAGTCGCCCCTCCTTATCCACGCTTCAGACCCCGCGGGCGCCTGGAAGAGTGTGCGGGGGTCCGCAGCCGCCCACGCTGCCGTCGCGTCACCCGCCCGCGTGTCTAACGCCATGTGCGTCGCAGCTGACTCCAGCGGTCTGAGGCGCGACCGCGGGGCTGGCGAGAGGTTCCTTTTCCCTCCCGATCTCCCGGTCGGTCATCCGTGCTGGCCGCGGGGTCTGGCCAGCCCAGCGTGAGGGCCTTTGCTTTCCCGATGCCTTCAAGAACTTTCCCCGTGTCACTTGAAGGAAGTGCTTTCCGGCTTTTCTGGGGCATTTATGAGTTGCTAGCGTCGCTCGGCCGCTGTTATGGCATAGGAGGATCGCTTCAACAGAAGCGCTGCGACAGCGCCAGAAACAAACGCGTTGTTTACGGCTTTTCTGGGGCATTTATGAGTTGCTAGCGTCGCTCGGCCGCTGTTATGGCATAGGAGGGTCGCTTCAACAGAAGCGCTGCGACAGCGCCAGAAACAAACGCGTTGTTTATTTATGGAGTTTTCCATTTAATATTTTCATAGCCGGGTTGACCGCGGGTAACGGAGACCGCGGATATGGGGCGGGGGGACCGCCGTGCCCCACTAAATTGTCACATGACCCAGACGGAAGATATCCCGTGCCACCACGTGGAGGAGGCAGGGGTCTCTGCCATGGACCTTTCTCTTTTTTTGAACAAGGGCCCTGTGTTTTCATTGTGTGCCCATCGTGGAAATGTTGCATCAGGGTGAAAAATAAAAATTGAGGGTGGGCGACGTCTCTCCAGCATCCAGGGCCTCTTTGGGTGCTGATCTGGCCCAAAGTGAGTCGCAGGCAGAGGGGAAGGAGCCACTTCCACAGGGCCTTGATGGCTGCAAATCAGTTTCTCAGCCTTTGTTTCCTGAGTGCTGGGGCTGTTTGGAGTTGGGTCTTGCCAAGACATTGTTGACTTTCTTCCATGTACCCCTCGGCCTCTAGAAATGCCAAGTGACAGCCCTCCCTCTTGTGTTCTGAATTTCCCTTGTCCAACCTGGCCAATGGTGGGGGGTGGGGGCAGTAATTGAACACCTGTAAAGCTCCTTGTGGGAACCCAGTGGCAGTGGGGCCCCGTTTAAGCTGGCGGTTGTAGCTCAGTGTTATCAAGGTCAAGGTATGGTCAAGGTTTCCACTGTGGTCCCCTTATGGCCTAATTAGGGACTTGAATGGGTTGGAACACCGGTCAAGTTTCAGTTCAGAGGCTATTTTGATGTTACAGTTCAATCACTTGAGAAAATATAGATTCAGTTCTGGTTCAGGCTGGCTCACCAGGTGTTTCTGTGTGCGTGTATGTTTTAATCTTTGATTTACTTCATGGTTCAGTAACAAACTTAATACATTTTTCACCCATCATCAAATTAACAAAGATGAGAGAAATAATAATGCTTGGCCCTCGTGCAGGGTGTTAGATGGGCCGTGGTAATACGGGGCTGCTGGAGATGTGAATTGGTACCTTTCTGAAAAGCAACTTGACGTTATCTGTCAAATGCCTTGAAAATGTTCAGACCCTCAAACCTGGCAATTTCCACTTCCAGGGATTTATCGTAAGGATATTATCAGATGTACACAAAGATTTATGTGCAGAGGTGCTTTCTGCAGCATTGTTTATATCACAGAAAAATGAAGAGTCACGTAAACGTCCAACAGAAGAGGTCTGCTTTACTAAAATATGATGGAACCCATTTTTTATGGTGTCTTAAGTAACGAGAGAGAAAGGTGTATGATGTATTTCCAGTAGAAGGGGAAAAGTTTTAATTACAGCCATAACTGACTTGCAAGCAAGCAGCATGGATCCTGTTGTAGGGTCTCAGCAATTCTGCCAGTCACTTGTGCTGCTTTAGGAAGAGACCTTTTAGTGCAACTGTGAATCTTGATGATTCGGGATGTATACACATTCTTTAAACAACTATTTGAGTGACTGCTTGGTGACAGGGACTGGGCATATGATGGTGAGGAAAATAGCACTCAGAGAACTTGCAGCCTAATAGAGAAGACATTTAATAAAATACGGTTCTTCTCTCAGTATCTGAAGGGGATTAGTTCCATCGCAGGGCCCCCTGGGATCCCAAAATCCCAAGGGGATGCTCAAGTCCCTGGGGTTTTTTGTTGTTGTTGTTGGGGCAGGGGCTGGCTGGCCCTTCTGGGAATCCAAACCCTTGACCTTGGTGTTATAACACCAAGCTCTAACCAGTTGAGCTAAACAGCCAGCCCTCAAGTCTTTTACATAAAGTGGTGTAGTGTTTGTATATAACCTATGCAAATCCTCCTGTATGCTTCAAGTGATATCTAGATTACTAATACCACCTAATACAATACCTACACATCACTTCATTCACATGGATGCAATGCAGTACTTTGTATGTGGCAAATTCAAGTTTTGATTTTTGGAACTTTGTGGAATTTTTTCCCCCAAGTATTTTTGATCTGTGGTTGATTGAATCCACGGATGCAGAGCCCAGGGACACAGAGGGCTGACTGTAATAACAGCTAACATTTACTTAAGCACTTTATGTTGACACTAGTATAAATACTTTACGAGTATTAACTTATTTAATGGAAGAACCCTAAAGTGTTGATATAACAGTTAGCCCCATTGTTTTGGTTATCACTGCCTAACAGACCAAAGCCTACTAGCTAGAACAACAAAGTTTATTTGCTCATGGTTCTGTAGCCTGGGCTGGGTTCAGCTGGATGGTTCTTCCGCTGGTCTTGCCAGCAGTCACATGTATGCTTGTATTCAGCTGGTGGCTCGGCTGGAGACTGGGACAGGTGGGCTTGTGTCTCTATGTACTCTCAGGGCCTTTCCACGTCGCCTCCACACTTGCTCATGCTGACCAGGTAGGCGGACTTTTTACATGGCTGCTGAAGGTCTTCAAGAGCCCGCAGTGGAAACAGCCAGCCCTTCTTAAGGCCAAAGCTCAGAACTGGCACTGCATCACATCTGCTGTGTTCTCTGGTTAAAGCGAATCACAGGGGTGGCTCAGATTTAAAGGGAGAGGATGATACCAGACCACCACACCCATTTCACAGAGAGGGAAACTGAGACACAAAAAGATTAAGTTACTTGTCCAAGACAGAGCTAAAATTTGAAACAGGAAGTTGAGCTCTAAAGCACCACAAAATAAGTACAGGTTCTGACAAAGTTAACAGGAGAAGGGAAAAGAACTATGAGAATAACAGAGAGACAGCCTTGTCTGGAGGGGAAGAGAGAAGGAGATGGCATTTAACCCTGAAACCAGATGTCTGAATGGTGTGGGGGCGGGGAGACAGCTTCAGAGCTTAGGGAGCTGTGCAGAGGCCCTGAGGTGGCTGAAGGACCAACTTATCAGGAACTAAGAGAAGACCTTCAAGGCTGGGGCCCAGGCAGAGGGAGGGAAAGCGTGGAGGGGG